TAAACTCTTCCCTAAAAAGACCTTAGATATTGTAGTATATTCAACTACTTGATTTTATTGCCTATATACCTGACCCTTATATATCTTTCACTAGTACAGGCAGTGTTCTACATGCTATGAATATAGTAACTCATTTAGTCATGCCAACAACCCCTTGAGGTTGGTATTGTTATTTTGCTTTGAAAAACAAGAAAACTCAGACTAAGAGAGGGAGTAAGTAACCTTTCTAAAGCCACACAGAAAGTAAAGTGCCAGGATTTACCTGCAAACAGTCTGACTCTACACTAGACATGTACCTTCTCAACTGCTATGAGCCAATATTTTACCAAGTCAGTTCTGCTGGATGCCTGGAATTTACCGAATGTTCTGACATCAGAAACAAAAATTCAATGAACATTTTTAAACACAAATATTTAGACATAAACATAATAATCACAATAAAAGTTCCCAAAATTGAAATTATTGTTCAAGTTCCACTACAATTGAAAGCTTTTGAGACAACGCGTACATTTTTGAAATGGTCAGCCTTACCTGTGGGAAAGCACACACACACCCCCCCAGGGAAAAGATTCGCTGTGAAATACACAGCACCGTAATTTGGTTGTGAACAAAGCTTGAAGGTCATATACTCTGTAGGTTGACAGAACAAAGATTGGACTATCTCTTGCTCTTTTTTTTTTTTTAAACTCATAATGTTTCCCCTTGACTACACTGCTCCAGGTAAGAATGCTATGTCAGCGTTTTATTTCTGGAACACTCTTCAAGTACCTTCCAATACTTCTTTACCCAATAACAATCAGATGGAGATATCATTTGTAAAGCTGTGCCCCAAATAGTGATCTCCCCCCAAATAATTTAATATATAAATGATGTTGACAATCTGGTAATGACCCATTCTCTAAAATATTCCCCAGGAATACAATGAAGACATTTTCTAGGATCTACTTCCATGCCAGTCTTAAGCACAATTTTACAACATGACCATCTTGGAATCATTTAATCCCTAAATATAGCAAAGACAAGATATTGAGTTAAGAGTTTTATTACATCCTCTATCTGCAACTATTACTTTACACAACCAATTTTTGCTTATTTTACCTTGCCATGTTTCCTTCAAAGTGAAGTAACTTCTTTTAATAAGAGACTTAAAGTTCTGTTAAAAATACTGCAAACCAAACCTCACTGCATTTTAGACAGTTCACTGCTTCCTTATAAAAAAATATGAAAAAACAATCTGTACATTTACATTAAAAGTTCAAGAATATTCACTAGAAAAAAAATGAAAGCTATTTTCACACTGAAATAGTATAATTTTCCCCTTAACATATAAGGAAAAGAAGAATACCGCATTATAAATGTTTACATTAAACATAAGAAGTCTTTAAAAGGAAAAGTACCCTTTGAAAACCCTAAGTCTGAAAATCTAGATTTCAGGGGGAAATTAGAAAACGGGAAATGTGGCATTAAGTAAACAATGTAGACACACGCCTAATTGAAGACCTATCTCAGTGCCCAGAGGGCTACATAAGGAAGAAAGTATTCCCCATGAATGCCTTGTTTGTTATGCACAGCCAGTTCAGGCCCATCCTGCAAGTGCCTGCAGACGCATCATGCAGTCAGCTCTTCCCTTGACTCCACACTCCAAATAAGGTGAGGCATGGAGAAAGGGTTGGTGATATTTCACCAAAATCAAATGGGAGCTGCCATTGGCCCGAGAAAAGAAGGAAAAGGAGGGCCTGGCCTAGGAAAATTTAAGTAGCAGACAATATTGTCTTTACTACCACTCCTGTCCCTTTGTTGGCTTCTCTCCTTGCCCTTGAAGGCCTGGATTTTCATGTTGCTTGCTATCTGTCCAAATACCGTACTTGGGCCCACACTCTCCTTAAGTCCCGTGTTTCCAAATGACTACTCGGTCTTTTTCTTTCCTGTATTCAAAATTCCTATTTCTTCTGTTACTTGAAAAATCCTTGTAAGAACGCAATCGCATAAAAATTAATTCATACTAAAAGGTGATTGACAGCCTGGAGCATTTGCCACCTAAGTGTTATTGACAATATTGGGAGAAAGATTAAAGAAAGGGGACTGATGGGAGGGCTGGATTTCTTTGAATCACACCAATGCCAGTTGAAACCAGGGTAGTGAGTTAGGGAAGTGGCATTTTATCATTTCCAGGCTTAAATTAGAACACAGCAAATGGCGATGAGCCTTAAGACAGTCATGCAGCACTCAGTCCCTTCAGTAAGATTTGTGCTCCCACTCCAGCTCCCTTTATCCCCTGAAATCTGACCAACAGAATATGGTTATTTGGCTCTAAACTTTAAAAATGTCAGTAGATAGGAGAGAAAAAGAAAATGGTGATAGAATCCTTTTACCAGAATTGAGTTTAAAAAAGCTTTCAGTATTAGCTCCAAGAAAAGCATTTCATCTCTGGAACCTCACCACTGGGAGTCAGGCAGCCCTAGCTGGAACAGCCTTTGCCAGTTTGCTCATTTGGTCATGCAGAGTGAAACTGCGAAGCAAAGCTACTGTTCCACCTAGTTTCCTCTCTCCTTTCCCCTGAAACCAGAGACGTTTAATTAGCTGCATACAATTTTAAAGAAATTACACAAATGTACATGAACTATTTCCTGATATGCTCAGCTCTGCAGCACAGAAGACCTAAGTATAAGAGGCTCTCTCTTTTTAAAAACCCTGGATTCCTATTGTAGGACAGCCCCAGCCTTATATTATCATCTTCCCCTTTGGTTTTCACTTTATTTTAAACATGGCATTGGCTAATAGTTTTATATAAGCACATATTTATATGTGTGTGTGTGTTTATCTTTATAGCATTCCTATGAAAACTTCCGTAAGTTGAAATGGCATAAAGCAAAGAAGCAATTACCATTCATTTATATGGAAAATTTTTTAGTGTTTCCAGACCCAAAAATTAACCTCTCTTCGGCTTTTCTGGTACCTTAGGACATATCTTGCTAAGGGATGCACAAAATACATGGAGATAAAGCACAGATGCTGGCAGACACTACTCAAAGCTCTGGCAGCTGGATGCGGACAAGAGGAGAGCAGTTTCCAGGGAAACAGCTGGGAGGGGCCCCTCACGCTGCTCCAGGGCACGCGGCCTCTGTAACCTTGCAGCAAGGCAAGGGCTAAATGCTATTTTCGCTTTTTGCCTTTTTTCTTATAAGCAAAAATCTTCAGGTATCTTTAGGTTCGCAAAAACAGGTATTAATGTAGGTCTTTTGTGAAACACAAACTTTTGAAAAGTGGGGGATACCACGGTCTCTCTTCTCTCTCTCTCTCTCTATATATATATAAAGAGAAAGTCAGTTAAGCTTATATTCATACTGAAAATTGCCACTACATGGGCCACCTCACAAATTCTGCCTCAAAGTCAAATAAATAACTTTGGGGGCATGGTCGGGGGGTAAGTCCCAATTCTTTGGGTAAATCCCCAAAAGCTGCAAAATTTTTAAGTTAATTTCGTCTTCTCTTCCAAAATTTTCTTCAACTGGTGATATCTAAAATTTCTTGTCTATTTTTTAAACTAACAGTTGAAGTGAGTACACAATAATGTGATACTAGATTTATCATAAGATTAGGTGTTAATTATTTTAAGTTTAAACACCATTGCTTAGGGGTATTTTGCAAGTCCTTCCAGGGGCTCTACCACATGAACAAATGTGAAAAGTACTAAATTTTAAGCAACGTTTTGGAAGATATTAAATTGCACCCAGGGGTTCTTTTGATTCTTTACAGCATATTAAAATATTTATCTGCCTTAACAAGGAGTAATTTGTATGAAAATGGTAGTGAATGGAAATGCACACTCATCCCTCATTGCTGCTCATAACTATGACGGGGTCTGGTTTCTTCAGAATATGTGGCATGACACAATCCATCTAACGATAACATATTCTAATTGCAAATAATTACTACTGAAAGAAAATAAAAAGCCAATTGTGCTAAGCCTGCAAATAAAAATATGCAAGTACAATATTAAAAAGAAGAAAAGCAACTTTTTCTCAGCATAATTTTCATTACTGCAAGTTATCAATAGTAGTCCTGAATCTCAGGGAAAAAGATGTCAAGACTTGTGATTACAATCTCAATAGATCTTTGGTATTTTTCATTAAAATACCCACAATAACTCTCTGTATAGTGAATATAGTTCCGTTTCTTGAGAATAAGGAAACTTAGATATATTCCTCATAATAATCCTTTTGCAAACCATAAAGCACACATTCAAAAGCATAAAAACAACACAATTTTTTGGTCTACACTTTGCTCGTGTAGTTTTAAGACCGTAGCTATGTATTTTTTAAAACCTTATTAGGGCAATCAAGTAGGCAGAACTGTTCTTCATGATCTAAATGCTAACCAGAAGGAAAATGAAATTCTAGTATCTTTGGAGCTACCAACTCAGTGGTACTGATTTTTTAAAGAGGTAAAAAATGCAATATAATTTAACACAATGTTTGATTAATAATAATCTTAATCCCCTTAAATCTAAATCTGGAACAAGAACAGAATTTCTACCCCGGTTAGCTATTCTATATTCAATCAAATACAGCTTAGCTATCACTGGACTAATATTAACTCAACACATTTACTGGTAAAATATCTATAAAGAATAGCAGGTCCTTTATAGACTTAATTCCAATGATACAGCATGAGATTTTCTAGCTGTCTCTTTACTTGGCAGTAAAGAAGACGAAACACATTTTAACATTTCAAACTCCTTGGAAAACATAAGCACCAATTGCTATAAAAATACAAATTGGTAAATAGTACAATTCCAAAATTTAGAAAAATTATATATTTTTTCTAATGTATAGATATATTAAAAATATATCTATATATCTATCTTTATATATATTAGAAATTTAAATTCTAATATACATCCATATATGTATTAGAAATTGAAATTGAACAACATCACTTTCCTTTTGGAAACTTCCAAAATGTCTGGCAAATACATGTCTAATTGTAGCATTTTAACATTATCTCTTTGTGCATGTCTCTGCTAATGTAATAAATTTCGCTCCCAAATTGTTTAAAAAGTCAAGGCCATCTTCTTCCTGTTTTTCACTGCAGCAACCTACAGAACCAGCTGGAGACCCTCTTCCTTCATAGTTGTATGTAAGGACATAATCTTGAGATGGCATGTGGTCTTCATTCTGGTTACACAGATGCAATTTCTGTAAAATAAGAAAAAAAGGATTGTATTATTGTTTTAAACACTCTTAAACATAAGAACATAAAATGTATTTTTTATTTACCTTTTATGTTTAATTTTTAACCAGTGTGTCCTCTAATGGAGTCCTACATACAAAAAATGCACATGATTGGTCGATATCATAACCGTACCACAAAGTCAGTATATCTTACATTTCTAGTAATCCATACAAATAAAAAATTATATATATATATATGCACACAAATGTTATATTTAAGTACATTTAAATTATCATTTTTAAATGCTTAATTTTATATCTAAAGGTCAGGCTAGTCCACAAAATGGTGACAGTATGCATGGCGGTGAAGAATTTGATCTTTGGATATTCAAACAGTCCTGATTTTGAGTCAAAGCTCTTGCTTTACCAACTACGTATATGACTTTGGGCAGGTTACTAAACATCTTCAAGTCTCACTTCCTACTCTCCTTATGTCTAAAATGGGAATATACACAGTGACTATCTCATGATAATGATGAAAAAATAATGCACCAAAAATTCTCATATTTTGCCCAGCACATAGTAAATATTCAATAAATGTGAGCTAAAACTACTATTACATGCAGTTATAAAGTGGGCAAGAATTACCAAACTGACTTCAGAATCAAGTGCCCAAGACAGCCCAAACGCAACAAAGTAGAGAAACGCACAAAGCACTTTAGTGAAATTAAAAATAATCAACATCACCCACACTGCAGAAACTGGGCCTTTGGAATGGAGCGGCCAAGCATTCAGCCACACCCAGCCTCACTGTCCGTTAGCAGCCTGGCTGCCAACTTGTCAAACTCCTGTGCCTCCTGCCTTCTCACCTGGGGACCCACTCCCTCTCTAACCCACAGCTTATTTCTTTGGCTTATGTTACCAAATGCCTCTCTTCAAGACCATGTCAGCCTCAGATCCCATTCCCTGATGCGCACGTTAATGAACACCCCTAAGAACGCCTCTTAAGCTCCACGCCTTCCCAACCTGATCCTACATGCACACTGTCTAGAAACAGAACAAAGATGAACACTTGAATCTGATGGAAAAAAAAAAAAATATGCTATGGACATGTGATCAGCTACAGCTGTGTCACAGAATGGTGCCTTTTTGCAGTCCATTAAAGGATGAAGGGCTTCCAGTCCACTGTGGGGGTTACAACAATACCGGTACACTCTGATAAACAGAAAACTTAGTACCAGATAGAATATTTAATCCAGTGCCCCTCTACCCAGGTGGCACATGTGAATCCCCTGAGGAGCTTTAAAATAATAGGAATAATAAGCCAAGCCAATGATGTCCAAATCCTTCAAGGTGGAGCACAGGTATTATTATCATTTAAAAGCTCCCCAGGGGATTCTGACGTGCCGCCAGGACTGAAAATCCATGATTTAACCTCTCTTTTCTTTGATATCCTTGCTTTCCCCTGAATAAAAACACTTTGTATTTGAACGGTGCTTCTTACGTTAAATAGAGTTCCTATAGCTCATATTATTGAATGTTCACCCTAGAACTGTGTACAGATGCTTTGTTTTCAGAGAAATGCAGATGTGATTGGGGGAGTTTTGTGATTGAAGGGAATGAGATTTTTCTTTCCACATTCTTCTCTATTAAAATAGTTCATGAGGTAAACAACATCTAAAAATGGCATGTAACTTTAACAGGGTCCTTAAAAACCTCCAATTCTCACAAGATTTTAGAAACTAAAAGAAATATGACAGATGGAATAAAATCTCTCTATGTGAAATAATGTAACAAGATCAGAGGGCATGAGGTGGGGGATGGGAGGAGTGCAAGGAATGACCAGAGAGTGAAAGAGAAAGGGTACACTGAAAAATACGGAAAAGCAGCTTCTGAAACATTAATTTCAATTTCCTATTGTTCTACACTTGGACATTTAAATTGCAGAGGCAAAACGCTCATGGAAACTCACTTCACCAAGACGGGGCTGAGTGAAACTATGCCACTCGGAGTAGGTGTATCTGCAGTTGTCCACCTCCGCGGGTCCGCCCCTGCAGGAATCCAGGGTGTGATGGTGCCCGGTCCCCCGGCATGATTCCAGGGTCTGGTGTCCGCCTTTCGCCATCTCAATGGTCTCCTGCCCTCCATTTTTCACGCCTGATCCCATGGTACCGCAAAAGCCTTGGCCAGAGTTGTTGACTGTCTGGGTCATAAACCCATTGCCAGAACACTGAAATAAAATAAAATAAGACCATCTGTATCGAGAGGAAACAGATTCCAAGTTAAGTCATAAGAAGACAAGGGAGAGAGAACGTTTATTTAACCTTTTATTGATTCATCCATTCATTAGCAGACATTTATATTTTCAGATTCTGTGCCCAGTGTAGGGACACAAAGAGGGACACGATCTCTCAGTGGCTCTAGAGAATCACTTTAAGAATGTGTACGTAGGTGAACACAGAACGCTATAGGAACGCAGAGGAAGAGCATTAAAATCCAAGCACAGACAGAGTAAGTGGAATAGAGTAGAAAACACTGCACTGAAGGACTCCTACTTGAGAAATGGGAGGAAGAAGGCAGTATCTGCGGGAAGGCCTACACACAGAGGCAACGGGGTACTTTGGGGGCCCTCAACTTCCAACCTGTTGAGAATGGCTACCACTTAGAGTTCAAAGTGAGAGAGGAAGTGGAGAGGTTACAAAAGACCAGAGAACATAAAGATCTATATGCCATGCTAAAAAATTTAGACTATCAAGAAGATGATGGGGACTCAGAGAAGGGTTTTAAGAACAGGGAAGAGACGTATTTTTTAAAAATCATTCAAGGCAATAAAGTAAAAGACAAATAAGGAGACAAGTTGAGTGTTGTGGATATCGGAGAGGTCACTGAATCATTCTAGGTGAGATGTGATAAAGACCTCGGCCAAAGTAGAAGCAAGGATGATTCAAAGTGGTTGTACTCCATACAAAGTTTACTGGTGGTCAGATGGATGAAACAGCAAAGGGAAGACTCAGGAATTATCCCTAGGTGCTCTGCTTGTGCAACTAGATAAATGGTATAATTCACTGAAGTAGGGATGAAGGACACACTCGTGGGTGAGAGAAGAGTGAACAGTTCAATTTTGGACATGGTAAATTTGAGAAACCTATGGATGTCCAACGTGAGTATATGAATATGTGGGTCTGGAGTTCAGGTTGGGGAGCCGAGCCGGAGCTATGATTCCAGAAGTCACCACCATACGGGAGGTAGTGGAAGCCATGGGAATAAATGATAACACCCAGAGAAAATGGTAGACTAAACGAAAAGAAGGCTAAGAATAGAACCACAAGAAAAAACATGTTTTAAGGGGTGGCTAAGGGAATTAGAGGACAGAACTGATCTGAAATAGCTATTGGAGAAGTGAGGAATCCAAGGGGCACAAAGCTGAAGCCACGCAGAGAGGATTATGGTAAGGAGAAAAGCATCCAAGGAGTTTAAGAACAGGTTCAAATAAAGTAATTCACCTTTAGATTCAAGCAAAAAAAGTGGCCACTGGTCATCTTTGTCAAAAGAATTTCCAAGAAATGCTGAATGAACAGGAAGTAATATCATGGAGAAATCGAGTATAAATCTCTCAAAAAGCTCAGTTTCAAAGAGAAAGAGATCAGGAGGGAACTAGAGGAAAGCAGAGTCGAGGGAATGTTTGAAGATAAAAAAGACCTGACTAAGCATCGACTTAATGTGGGCACCTCATACGGAACTCTGGGCTGCCCGTGAGAAGTTCAGTTCAAGCGGTAACCTCAAACATGGCAGATCTAATTATGAAATGTGACTCTCAGACAAGACCTCCAGTAAAATCAGGCTCCATTGTGCCATCTTCTTGCCCATTTGTTTTTCTTCTAATATGCAGAGACTCTAACTAAACTGGAAGATTTTCAGGTTCAGATGATTTAGAGTTTCGGATATTTCAGAATCTGCAATGTATCTATAAATGTCATACACGGTATCTCACTGCCTTAGAAAATTCTACCGGAAAAGAGAACTGAGAAGTAGCCATTTGGTGGCACTGCCACCCTGTATTTTTTGCTTAGGTTGCCGCTACAGTGAAATTCCATTAAAAAAAAAAAACAAAAAAAACCCTCATTATCAAATCTCTTCGGTGGTATAATTTCTGCCATTATAAATACATGTTCAGAGATCATGCAAGCTAATCCCAGAATTAAAACTAAACTAAAACCAAGGCGAAACTCACAGTTTCACATTCTCTCTATTCTCTATTCCTTCCTGACCATCTCTACGTGCATTGCCCAAAGTTTATTCTCATGGGGTATCAACGACTCCTTTTCCATGTCACTGATTCCCAGATTTAACTTCTCCAGTCCTGACTTTTCAACCAGCTCCTAACCCCACCTGAATGCCTTTGACTTAAACTTAGCTCCAGAACTAAAGTCATCACCTGTACTCATTGTACTAAAATGAGCTTACACACTCACTAAGAAATCTCGTTACATTTTGTAAAAATATACCTAAAATTATGTTTTGGTCTAAGTTGATAATTCTGAGTCCTTTTGAGAAGTGTTTCTAACAGAGAACAGATAAAGACAGGGATGAGTACATCTGGTGAAACAGCCAATTAATGCTACCAGCTCTAGCATCAAATGGCAAAGAACAAGTATTACGAACATCTCAATTATTCCCTTCTCAGATATAAAATAAGAACTTACTATGAGTCAAGGACGATTAAGGGACTAAATGTATTTTCTGAATGGAGAAATAATTACAGGGTTCCACATGTAGGCCTGTCAAGCATAGGTGGGCTATGATTTTCCATGATGATGGCAGGTGGTTAAAGAGAGAAAGTCAATAAGAAAGATGCCTTCACACCGAGATATAGAAAAGTCTTGATATAAAGTCATTGTCCTTGGTTACAGCCTCTGTCGTTTGATTTCATTTTTTATTTTGTTACTCAAAAGCTAACAATCTGGGCGCCTGGGTGGCTCAGTTGGTTAAGCGACTGCCTTCGGCTCAGGTCATGATCCTGGAGTCCCGGGATTGAGTCCCACATCGGGCTCCCCGCCCAGCAGAGAGTCTGCTTCTCCCTCTAACCCTCCCCCCTCTCATGTACTCTCTCTCTCTCATTCTCTCTCAAAATAAATAAATAAATAAATCTTTAAAAAAAAAAAGCTAACAATCTTATCATTTACACATTTAAAATATTTATTATCCCTATTTCCAATGGCCGTTATCCATCCTAGCAGAGTTCTCCACTGCTTCAACTATTGAAAGATTTTAATCCTTTATCTTCCCTATCCCTAACGTCTTCCTATTCTCACCGATCACCCTACTGACTCAGCGTCACACTGCTCCCAATATGCCACTTCTGTGCAGAAAAACCTTCACCTGCTCTTCCTTACCAAGAGAATAAATCCCAAATCCTTAGTGTGGCACACAACAGCCCCATGTGCTACTCCTGCTACTCCTCTCTTACATCCTCTCCCCCCAAGAGCCTAATTAAGTGTCAAGCTTCTATTGTGAAACATCATTTCTTCCACTTCAAATCAATTTCTTTACTATTTGTTGAATAATCCCTAAACTTTGTCATCTCCTTTTTTTTAAAATATTTTATTTATTCATTTTACAGAGAGAAAGAGAGCGAGCACAAAGAGGCAGAGCACAGGTAGAGGGAGAGGGAGAACCAGGGTCCCCGCGGAGCAGGGAGCCCGACGCGGGACTCAATCCCAGGACCCTAAGATCATGACCTGAGGCAAAGGCAGACGCTTAACCGACTGAGCCATTCAGGCGCCCCTGTCATCTCCATTTTTATTCTTGAGGCTGTTTTCCATCTCTTTTGCTATTTCACCTCTCAACTTTCAAACTCTTCCTATTCTTTAAGTTACAGAGGAATCTGTACCTCTTTCACTAAGCCTTGCCAGTTGATCGAGACAACACAAATGGACTTATGTATCATAAGCATCTTTAAATGATAACAGTGCTCTCTCATATCAGTGCTAATGGTTTACTTGCATGTTCCTACTTATTTTTCCCATAAAAGGAGATTCAATTTCCCACAAATACTTTGAAATCTTTTTGAGGGAAGAACATGCCTTGTAAGAACTTTTTAAATAGACATCTCCCCAAACAAGACACCTAGTACTAAGCAAGCACCTCAGCTGTCTCAAGAAATATATAAGGAAAGAGAGTGACAAAAGCCTTCCAAGTAATCTACCCTACCTCACATACTTTTTAAATATATATATATATATCTTTGATATCTTCTTAGTTTATCTTGAAAACTTTCAATAAGTTTTTTTTTCCTATTATAAATTGTCGAAGAGTTAGATAAAAAAAATACTATCTGGAAATATTTCTACATTGTAGAAAGCAGCTAAAAGATTGTTATTATAATAATTTCACAACATCAAAGAGCAAATTTCAAATCATAACACTAGAGAGTGGAAGAATGATAATTAAAACAACACATCTGATTTAAGAAGTTCAATAAATGCCACCTACATAAATATTTGAATATTGACAGATAAAATACTTACACCTACAAAAGCTGACCTAGCTAAAAATATAAATATTAACTCTTAAATTACAAAACAACTTCATGAGAATCCGTAAAAGAAATTATGGGAGATACTCAGAGATAAATACTCATTTTAAAAAATTACTTACCACCTTATCATCTCCAGGTGCTTCTGTGTTTGATATAATCAAGTTTTGCTGTGCTAAATCTTCAGGAAAACTTTTTTTTTTGGCACTAACAACTCCACATACCAAAGTTAGCAATACAGCTGCATTAAAAAAAAAAAAAAAAAGGTTTAACATACATAGAATAAAATACTCATCTTTTATTTTTTATCACCTCGGATACACAGGAGGAAAACAAAGCCGCTAAGGCGTGGTCCTGTGAATTACCTTGGCTTTTCTAAATTAATAGGCCATAATTTAGCTTAGACTTTAAAACCTGAATTAATTATATGTATATTTTGATTATAAGTCTGTTTAAGAGTTTGAATTCTATCCATAATGTTAAAGTATTTACATTTGTGAATTAAATAATAAATTTTCAAAAATTTCAGTGACATTTAAGACAGAGACCTTAAAGAGATTTACTGATTCCTAAAAGAATGGTTTGCCTATATGAAAACATGACAGATTTTTCTCCCCAGAACAGATTTATCTCCAAGTATCTTAATTAAAACTATTCTGTACTTTGTCTGTTCAGAATTTTCATTTTACATCATACCTGTGGGAGGTTGAAATATGTGATAATAAAATTAGCTGTAATAATAACGACAGTTCTTACAATGCTCTACAAGCCCCTCTAATAAAGGCTAGCCAAACGGCAGCCCCAAATCCAGCCCACCACATATTTTTGTATGGCCCATGAGCTATGGTTCTTAAATGGTTTTTAAAGATTAAAAGAATAGAAATTCACTACACATGACAATTATATGAAATTCAAATGTTAACGTCCATAAATAAAATTCTATTGGAACCCAGCCATGCCCATCACTGAAATATTTTCTCTGGCTGCTTTCCTACTAGAAGGGTAGATTTTGTTGGTTCTAAGTGAAACCACATGGCCTACAAAATGTAAAATATTTTCTGTCTAGCCCTTTATAGAAAAAGGGTGCCAATGCCCGCCCACTCTATGTGGCCCCCTTGTTACCTTTCTGGTTCCATGTCCAACCCCGCTCTCCTGATGCACTCCACTCCAGCCACACTGGTGTCCCTGCCATGCCTTGACTTCTCCAGGCACCCTCTCACCTAAGGGTCTTTGAGCTGACTTTCCCCTAGACTGAAAACCTCTCCCCCAGGTACTATACTTGGTATTTCTTTCAACTTTCCCCAAAATCATCAAAGATAACCTTGTATGTTGGCTAACTGAACATAGTAAAAAAATAAATAAATACTTTTTTTTAAAAAGTAGAAAAGGGACATTTTCAGACAAAAAAAAAAAAAGATAACCTTGTTAAGTTAGCCTCGACCAAACCATCCACCAAATCTGTAGTCACTCACCCTAATCCCCCATGATCACCCACAGGACGCTCCACAGGACTACAGCTCCTAATTATTTTGCTCTATTTTTTCCTCCACAGCATTTCGCTTATTTATTAGTTTACTGTCACAAGGCACAGTGTTTGTGTTTGGTTTGGTCTCTTTTGTCCACTGATGACTCCCAAGCACCTAGACAGTTTCTGGCATATTGTAGGTCTTCAATAGATTATTTATTTTGTGGAGTTGCTGAAAAATATTGAACACTGTACTATTCTAAGCTCTTCACGTGCATTAGCTCAATTAATGCTCAGTGCTGCCCCATAAAGCAGGCTACCCCAATTATCCCCTTTCACAGATGAGGAAACTGGAGCACAGTTAAGGAACTCGCCCCCCCCGCCGCCCCCCGGTCACATGGCTTGCAAATGATAGAGCTGGGTTACAGACCCAGAGAGTTTGGTTCCAGAGTCTTGCTCTTAACAGCTAGTCCTATCACAGAACAAAGGAACAGGGGCTAATCCAGGCTGGAGGAGCAGATGGAAATAAAAAGAGGGAAAAATATGATGCCATTGGGAACTCTACAACCGGCAAGGAAGAGGTTAAAAAAATCAAAACTAGCAAGATACAGCCAAGAAGAGATATTGCTGTGATCCGAGTCATTCCCATAAGCCCGTGGAGAAATGATGAGAAGAGATCACAATGGCTTGTCGCGGATTTTCATATGGCAGAAATTTTAGATTGTTTTATTTAGCCCTACATGGGGTAGTACCGGCACCAAGAAATGAAAACTATATGTTGACAGATTTGGTACCATCTAAGGAATTTTAAACAGCTCTGTCCAAGTAGGAAATCGTATCTCAAAAAGGATCTTGCTCCCTCTCCCTGAAAATATTCCATCAGAACTCAGATAATAACACAAAAGCAATTTGTAAATTGCCCACCCCTGATGGATAGTTGGACAAGAGTACTTTTTAAAGACCTTTTCCTGCACTCAGGTATTTATGATACATTTTAACTTTAAGTAAGTAAAAGGACTTACAAAACAGTAGTGCTATACCCAGTAGGATGGCCAGGATCGCCCATTTTCCAAGTATTACTCCCGCACTCCTTCGAGCTGCCAGACATTGACTTGGATGAGTACAATCACACAGATTAATTCTCAGGGTTTTTGTTGTAGATTGACCTTCTCTATCTTTTACAGTAATAGGAACACTATATTCCTGAAATTCAGCATTTTTCTGATATGAAAGACGGGCAGCTGTATCTGAAAGAAAATCAAAGAATTGTATCTTTAATGGACATTTATTTCTCCCTTAGCATTTGTTTTGCCACCCTTGTTTCTAAACATATTATTCTCAAGGAACCACCTGCCACATGAAAATGAGTTAAAATGGAGAACTACCTTCAACACTTCTCAGCACTAATATCACTATGTATGTCCATTGTAACTTTTTACAAGAGAGCCTGAAAGACACAATTTGACATTGGAGTGATCCAGTAGCAATTCAGCAATATTGAATATTCCCTTATCTTTCCCTTATCTACAAACCAATGATGGTAGATGGGCCCCTGACACGCACTTCAAGCATTTTTCTACAGTACCAGTTTATGGTACTCATAAAGAATTAACAACAATTGCTATGCACAAAGTATGTCTTAAGTTGACATTCTCTTGTCCATTTACTTTCTGGTACCTGTCCATTATCTTTACACATAAGGTAATTTTCCAAAGTACAACAGACCCTGTGTTATTATGCCTTCCCTCTAGAAGTGATCTCAATACCAGAAAGCTAATTATTGTCACCCAGGCTACATAAAAACAGATGTATCTGTAACATAACATTTTTATCAACTATGATATTTCCCCAATAGCCTTGGTACCTATTTTAATGACTTCATTATCAACTGACCAAAAACTCTACACACTTTCAATGCCAATTACAACCTTCGGAGTTTTGCAATAAGCTAAATGACACAGTAGCACAATGCACATCCTCGAAGTCATCTGTAACTTGTAAGCCTTTCTTAAATGCACTGTGACAGCTGATAAGAACTTCAAAGATTTTTGGCTGCACCTCAAATGTAAAGCTCCCCGGAGAAATGTGAATTACTACGAAGGTTTAGGTGGAACCCTCCCAGATCATACTGTGGCTAAGATAAAATCCTTCAAATTCCTCTCCTCCCTCAAGACCACAAGCTCAGCTGTAGTCACATCTCGTTTATTCATACTAGTGCAGCATCCACTCTGCCCTCTTCAAACTGGCCTGTCCCCAGTGTCACCTTGTTAAGACATAAATCTGGGCACAGCATTCCTTCCTGGCCCACTCCCAGAGCACACCTGCTGTACAAAAAGTCAGTCTCCCCAGCCTGGTACATAGGCTCTTCACGACCAGAGTCCATCCATCCTCCCACCCAATCTCTCAGCATTCCTGCTAAAACCTAAACTCTAACAACACTGGTTTACTTATTCCTCCCAGCATTCTCCTTCATTGTGCATATTTATTAACCAATTATTGATTAAATTATCGATTAACAAACACTTACTAAACTGTTAATATCTACAGTGGGCTACGTGCTGGAAATACACAGATGAATCACAAATATCCTGAGAAACTCATGTATTGGAGGAGGAAGGTAAACAGATGATACTACAACATGAAAGGAGCTATAATACAGGTAGGAAAGGTCATGATGCTACTCCTTCGACTTCAGGAAAGATTTCATAGAAGTGAGCATCTGAACTGGAGTCATGTCTGTCTGTCCTGTTAACTCTACACGTAGCTGCAGGGTCAGAACAGTGCATGGTCGGTAGACGGTAGGTGCTCCACAGGTATCATGAATTAATATCGAACTATGAAATGGGAAGGGTGCCTGAAATATAAAATACTACACTCCCCCAGAAACCACTATCATAGGAACCTGTTTTGAGGGCTCCAAAGCCACGCCTCTGTCCAATCCCCACCCTGTTTCCTTCCAGAATACTAGAGAGTGCTTGTCTCACACACCCAGATTCCTCATTCCAGAGTTTATTACACTAAAATTTAAACTGCCCATCTCTGCTCTGTCCTCACCTCACTGGAGTCACTTTAAAAATACACCAGAGGCGCCTCGGCGGCTCAGTTGGTTGAGCGTCTGACTCTTGATTTCGGCTCAGATCATGATCCCAGGGTCATGACACTGAGGCCTGCATTGGGCTCCGTGCGCAGCATGGAGCCTGCTCTTTAAGATTCTCTCTCTCCCTCTATCCTTCCCCCACCCTCCCTTTCTCTCAAAAAAAATACACCAAAAATTTTTCTTAATGATAAGCTGCCCAATATTCTAATAAAGCTTTTTTGTCCTTGTTGGAAATATAAATTTTGCCTTCATAAAAATTATGATTTCTTGCATTTTATAGGCAATATATAAATAACACAGACCTCCTATAATATTTGTAAAAGTTTGAGTTAGTCTTCTCAAATATATTAATGAGAATATTACAGTAAACAAGGAAATCCATTCTCAGTTATTTTAGAACATATAAATCATTATTTTTTATTAAATATTTTTGGGGTGCCTGGGTGGCTCAGTCAGTTAAGTGTCCAAAAGACACCTGGGTTCGGCTCAGGTCATGATCTCATGGGTCTGCTTGAAGATTCTCTCCCTCTGCCCCTCCACCCACTTGCTCACATGCTCTCTCACACTCTCCTCCCTCTCTCTCAAATAAATAAACAAATCTGTAAAAATAAATCAATAAATACCATTGACTTTGGTGAGGGTCCATATTCTGTTCATCTCTGGAGAAGTGTTTGCCAAGGTGAAATAAAATGGAGCACCATGGATAGGTTCATCGGGATCGACAGCTGAAATGTCAGTATACTTCATCTTTGGTTTGCAAACTGTTACGGAACTTTGAAGTATTTCTGGTGGGTTATCATTCACATCTTCAATGTTAACCACGAGTGTTCCAGTGCACGATCTACCATCTAGGAAGAAAGAGAAAAGATTTAGTGTAGTTTCTTGCCTTCTTTTACAGTTTCCTAATAAAACAAATTAACTACCTTCTACATACATGTTTTCTTAAATAAGCTGATTATTACAGAAAATGGGAAATAAGGATGTAGAAGGGTACATGAGACCTACAGATCATCTAAAATCAGTACCACCATTGATAATACCAGCCACAACTGCCAATAAACCTTATGTCAGGATTATTATCAAACAATAAAAATCAATGTGTGAATTGCAAACTCTGTGTTTCGGGGCGGGTCCCTTCCGGTACAGATGTCAATGAACAGTAAAAAGGCTACAAAAAGTTATTCTAACCCTGATACACTTTTAAGCCACTTAGGGAGATTTTTAAGATATGATGTTCAGGTTCCCCAACCCAGGATTCTGATTCAGTGTGTCAAAGTCATGTCTACAAAATGATTTTTTTAAGTGCCCCAAGTGAATTACTATTATTCTAACCAAATTAGAATATTATTCTAATTATGAATTATTCTAATATTCTAATATGAAACTGAGATTGAGAACCTCTGGGTTGTTTCAAGGAACAGAATTCAAGGAAAGGATCACTTTGACCTAATAATCAATTGAGTTTCTCAGATTCTATTTAAAGTGGCATAAAGAGATATACAAGAGTCTAGTGAGGCCATTTCATCTGATCCTAGACTTAAGTTTCGTCTTTGCCCTCCAACAGATGGATCCATAAGCATTTGAGGTCTCGCCACGCTGGGGATATAAAGATAAATAAGACATGGCTTACCTTACAAGGTTCACCTTGTTAGATGATTAAAAGAAACAGGAACAGTCTTCAAAGTAATTTCTAACAATTCCAAATATTTATCACAAAAATTCCGCACAATAATAATCGGTTTATTCTCTAATTCCTTTCTAAAATACCATATTAAAACTTTTTTTTTTTTTACCTTGGTCTATTGCCAGGACTGTAATATTATATAAGTCATTTCTGGGAGTCATGGCCTCCCGGTCCAGGATTTTGGAGGTTGTGATTGACCCCGAAATCTCATCCATGGTGATCCATCCTTTAGGATCATGCAATTTTTTGTACCTATTAATGTAAAATAAAAAAATCTTTAGCAATATAAATTAATATAAATATATTTATTGAGATAGCAATATTTTATATTGCTATTATATACTATATAATAGCAATATAAAATAAGTTACTATCTCAATTATTACAAATACATTATTCTTATGTGGTTACAGACGTCTTTGTACCTTAAGCCATTGCTACTTCTAGTTTCAGGGTCATACGCCTTATAGCCATTGACCTTTGACCCCAATGCTGAGTTTTCTTTAATCCGTACATATTGGGCTGCAGGGCTGCATTCAGGCCCTTCATCCTGATCCCTCACGTGAACTGTGACCAAGGCTCGGTTCATGGCTGCCATTCTGAGTGCAACATCTCTAGTAAACGGAGCTTCATTGTTTGCTCCAATTTCCAGGATCACTTGGTGGTTTTCTTCATAATTCAGCGGCTTTTTAAAAAAGCACATGGATATCATCATCAGTGTAAAATACATACGGTATTTCAAATAACAAGTGAACAACTGTAAATATGAATAGTGCTGCATAAATTCTATGTTCCCATTCAATCAATATTGACTTTTACCCTTGGCTAAAGAGAGGTGATTCTTCACGAAGCCTTTAGCAAGAGTGGTCTGAACGTTTCTGCAGGTGGTTTTATGGAGCTGTGGAAAAATAATTCCTGAAATACTTTTATAGTTCATTCTTACTAAGGAAAATGATTCTGAACCTGGAGATAATGCAAAAAAAAACAAACAAACAAAAAAAAACACCAAACAGTGTTTTTACAGCCCTGCTTTAGAGCACTAAAGGACCAGTGTAAGGGGCATCTAACTCCAGGAGAATGCAATTTTGTTTGACTTACTACTTCCTATTGACTATGTCCATTTCCTTAACCACTGCACTATAATCCCTCTGCTATATGACGCTGCTTAGATGGGTTCATCGGCCTCTAAAAATATTAAAGTGAATCCTTTGATTAAAACTGATTTCTAGGGGCGCCTGGGTGGCTCAGTCGTTAAGCGTCTGCCTTCAGCTCAGGTCATGATCCCAGGGTGGTGGGATCGAGCCCCACATTGGGCTTCATGCTTGGCAGGAAGCTTGCTTCTCCCTCTCCCACTCCCCCTGCTTGTGTTCCTGCTCTCACTATCTCTCTGTCAAGTAAATAAATAAATAAAATCTTCAAAAAAAAAAAAACTGATTTTTAGACAGCAAATCAAGCAAAACCTATAAAAACATTATTTTACATTGTATTGCAAACTCGATGCATTTTTTTCTTTCTCTTTCTGCTTATCAAAACCATCATTGGCTGACCATTGAACAAAATCAAAATGGAGGAGTCAAATTTTTATTTTAAACCTTTCCCCATACCTAGCTATTACCAAGCTGAGATACCTAATATCATGAGTCCACTAAGAAGTCAAGGAAATTTCTGAATCTTAGATTCCACAAAATGTATGTGAAACACGTTTTTATTTTTTATGAACATTCCAGAAAATGGAGAGTCAAAAGAGGAAAAGAATTAAAATGTGTTTATCTATTGCTAATGAACACTATGTCACAAATTACATGTGTCGATATGATCACACAGAGAATGAGAGCATCTCCTGGCAATGACACATGGATGGAAATTCACGAACAGCTGCTGTTCTGGAGGAGGTGCAGTTATTCCACCCAGGACCCCTTGTTAAAGCCTTAGAATTTCTTTATGTAATTTTTTGAGGCTTACACCGGATATTGCTTTAGAAGCTTAAAACTCTGCCAGATTGGAAATCCGGTGGGATGAAATCAGTGATTAATGAAAAAAAACAGGAATTCACTTCCACAAGGGAGCTTTATGTTTTTAATCAATTAAAAATAAAAAGCTCAAAAATATCCTAGGGGCACCTGGGTGGCTCGGTCGTTAAGCGTCTACCTTTGGCTGAGGTCATGATCCCAGGGTCCTGGGATCGAGCCCCACATCGGGCTCCCTGCTCGGCGGGAAGCCTGCTTCTCCCTCTCCCACTCCCCCTGCTTGCGCTCCCTCTCTCACTGTGTCTCTCGCTGTCAAATAAATAAAATCTTTAAAAAAATAAAATAGCCTATATCTGCACTGAGATATTAATGGCTCCCAGAATATAAAGTGCTGTTTTGTAGTGGACCCTCTCTGTTGAGAACAGCCGAGAACAGTATTTTTGTCACTCGAGCCCGTGTGCACTATGGCTGCTCCTCAAATAGAAAGGAAATGCTGGGATGGAAAGATCATCCGGGCCTGAGCTAAAGATGGCATCAGCTCATGCTCGACGGTTCCAGAAAAGTTATCCAATATGGAAAATTATAACACTAGCCCCACGAACATGTAAGGCTTCTAAAAATATAATAATAATATCCTATAGTTTACCAAGTGTTTTCATTTTCATTGTTATAATGCAATAGCTATTAGGGAGGCAGAGAGAAGTATTTTTTTATGTTTTATAGATAATAGGCTAACTTTCCAAGATCACATAGCTATACAAAGGAATTTAACATGGCGCCTAAGAGCATGTACTTTGCAATTAAAGAGACCTAGGTTCAAATACTGTCCTACTGCATCCTCGCTGTGCCACTTCGACTAAGTTCCTTCATCTCTCTGAGACTAAGTTTTGTCTTCTGCACTACTGTGTAAGAATAACATTTAACATTATAAGCCCACAGTGAGTGCTTTCCATTATAGGTTATAAGGATCTGTCACCCGGGCAATTGAAAGAAAAAGTGATGTATTTTTGGTTAACAGCCAATATAATGCACCAAGAGGAGACACCAACTAACAAGGCAATGTTTGGAAGCTTTGTTTAAAGAAGTATATTTGAGCAATCTTTGGCTTAACTTAACTTACTGATTATTTAATTCTTTTTGGTATAAAGGAATGAATAAAGTTCATTCCTAGCCATCATTATGTAAGTAGTGAAAGAATGATGGATTTCAAAATGCCTTGATTATACAGTGTTTGATTTTAAACTTTTTTTATCTTTGTTTTTTTTTAATTTGACAGAGAGAGACACAGAGAGAGAGGGAACACAAGCAGGGGGAGTGGGAGAGGGAGAAGCAGGCCTCCCGCGGAGCAGGGAGACCGATATGGGGCTCGATCCCAGGACCCTGGGATCATGACCTGAGCTGAAGGCAGACGCCCAATGACTGGGCCACCCAGGCGCCCCTGATTTTAAACTTTTTTTTAAGACTTCATTTATTTATTTGAGAGAGAGCGAGTGAACATGAGCAGGGGGGCAGGAACAGAGGGAGAGGGAGAAACAGACTCCTCACCCAGCAGAGAGCCCAACGTGGGGCTCAATCCCTATTCTGGGACCCTGGAATCATGACCTGAGCTGAAGGCAGCCTCTTAACCGACTGAGCCGCCCAGGCGCCCCCAGTGTTTGGTTTTAAAATAGAAGATGCTGGGCGCCTGGGTGGCTCAGATGGTTGGGTGTCTGCCTTCGGCTCAGGTCATGATCCCGGGGTCCTGGGATCGAGTCCCGCATCGGGCTCCCTGCTCCTTGGGAGCCTGCTTCTCCCTCTGCTTCTCTCTCTCTCTCTCTCTCTCCCTCTGTCTCTCATGAATAAATAAATAAAATCTTTAAAAAATAAAATAAAATAAAATAAAATAAAATAAAATAAAATAAAATAAAATAGAAGATGCCTCACCAAGGTTAGAAAGCACTTAAATAACTTAAGTACATAAACACAAATCTTTAGCAAGGAAAAGGATAAGACACCTTTAAAGACCAGTGTGGCTACCAAAAGAACTGTGTGATGAATTCAAGTTTTCTAAGGGTTTGTGTAAAATACAGAAAGGAAAATATACCATGGAAAATGCAAATTTTATTGACCAAAATGTTAGAGACTATTATGAATGGCTCAAAGAAAGAGAGAAGGTAAAATTACCAAAGGAGCTAATAATTACAGAGGAAGGAGATAATTTAAAAAGTAAACTCAGAGAAGTAGAAATTAATTCAAGTTCCAAAAAAAGACCCCTTGTGCAACTAAAGTCATGGTTTTATCAAACCAAGTAACCCAAGGATGGGAAAGAGGAGACACAAGGGGAACATGACCAAGGGTCCCCAGCTGGAAAAGTAGCACAGTGGTTCTGAGGAAGGTTCTGCATCAAGAACATCTGAGTTTGCATCCTAGCTCTATCACCTCCCATGAACTGGGGCAAGTGGGGCATCTTTTTTTAATTGTAAAATGGGGATAATAATAATATCTTATCCTAAAGGGGATGTGACAACTAGATATAACCTACATAAGATGATTAGCATCATTCCCTGTGACAGACATGAAAGGTGATCAATACTTGATAACTGCTTTTAAAATTCTAAAAGCATTTCCTAGGTATAAGAACTACGATGTAACTATAAAATATAAGTGCAACTATCTTATGTTTAAAGATAATAGGAATAAATGCATATAAATTTTATTGGGGGAATTTTCTTTATTCTTCATATGTGAAATTAACTTGAACGAGAGACAAAAAATTAAAGTTTCACCATCTAATTGTTCTCTCTCCTGGGGAATCTTGAGATGGTACCCAGAAGCTGTTCACCAGAAATAAAACAGATGTTTATTAGTCACAGAGTGAGATATATTCTAGGATACAGGCTATAATTTCTGAAAATATTTGGAAATATTTTTCTTAATGTCTCTGTGATCAACACTCCTTGAGGGAAAAAAATCCACTCTGAATATGAAAAAAATGGAATGTGTTGACATACTACGATTTTTTTTAGAATATATTCTTCTGACAAAGTTTACTGAAATTCATTTTGTATTGGTTAAAAAACTCACAATAAAAATTTAATTCCCAGTGTTACTTAAATTTTGCCTTCTGAAGCCAGATAAAATCACTGAGATTTAAAAAATAATAATAATGGGTCTTTAATAACGGACTCGAATAAGAGAGAACTGAGGAGGAGCCTTCTAATCAAGCAACAGATACGGAGAACTCTAAAAGGTCTGAGCTTGGGTCTGACTTGAGCTACTGCAGTTGGCATAATCTATCCATCTCAGATCTCAAACTATTTCTTTGACTTATTTCTAGAAAGAAGTGAAGGTGGGGGTGAGGGGTGTGCAGAGGAGGTGTCCAGGAGAAATCTTTTACAGAACATTTGTTGCCAATCACATCAATTTTTGAGGCAAATGCCTGTACTATATAGGTGAGTCTAACTTTGGAAATTGATGCATAGCGTGCTTTTCACAAGAATTATACACTACAGACCCTCCAACTACCCGACTTCAGGGGCAGCTGTGGTGGACACTCCCCCATTTATGCTGACAGATTCACATCTCAAGCACACAAAGATTTAGCTCTTCAGATTCAAAGTTTGCTCCAAAGCCAGAATGCTCTCCCTCTACGAAGCACAGCCAAGCCCAGAAGTGCAGGAACGCTAAGGTTCCCTGGAGGCAACCTTCAACCAATGAGGCATAGGTATCAACAGTGGGAGCTGATGGATAAATGCCCCTGGGACCATTTCTCGAGGAGATAATTCTGAAGTACATTCTACATGGTTCATTGCAAGATTGAACACCCGAGGTGACTAAGTCAGTAATGCAGACTTGATTCGCTTTTCATTCTTTCCTGTCTTACTTTCCCATTTTTACTCTGGCTTCCTGGGATCCACTTTCTAAATATTTCTCTTCATTGAATTCCTTGTCTTGGGTTCTGCTTTCTGGAGAGTCCAAATGAAGACTGGATTGAGTTGGACCAATAAAGAGGAAAAACAATCAGTACCATCTGCTTATTTCTTTTCCTACTACTATCAGTTATAAAGTTTCATTTTTTTTAAGTAGCTGGTTTCAGTATTCAACTTGAGCAGATCATATTAGAGAAAACTAAAATAGAGGTTTGATATTGAGAGTGATTTGGAACAAATATATTTGACTAGTCACACTGGGTAGAACTTGCAGAGGCTTATTACATAACCTCTGGAAATTTTTACAGAGGAAACAATTATAAATAAATATTTATGTATCAAAGCCTCCACCATATTGTTGTTGGCAGGAAAGCTTCCTTTAGTCAATGGATGACTCCTTTACCCGCCCATAGGACAATATTCTTCCTTGTTCTGAGTTACAAATATAAAACCAAGAATCCTTCCCAAATAGGGCCTTTTCTGTCCTCACATCCTGGACCCTAGAATAAAATAATGCAACCAAAAATACAATATACAGAATAAGGAGTAAGTTCCTTCAGTGCTGTCTGGTATAACACTCTATTTCATCCTCAATACCACTTATAAAGGATCAGATACAACCAGGCATATTCCAGAGAGAGCGAGAATGAGAAGACTATGGGCTTCTAAATTATATCATGCTAGGAATAAAGGATTCAGGAACACTTACCATAGAGAAGGTAAGTTTCAAATGAACATAGCAATCTTTTCAAAAGAATTCTATTTCTTCCATTAGGGATGGAACCCAGACCATTAGAGACAGAACCATGGGATATAAGGAGAATAATTTGGGCACAGTAGAAGTAAGGACTTCCGAGAATCAAAGCTCTCCAAATATGGAATCTGCTGCCAATGGAGATATGGAGATCCTTAGAACTGAGAATGCTCAAGCATAAGCTTGGTGACAAATGACTGGCAATAAAATTATAGAAGAAACACAGCATTACATGGGAACAGTTGGACTAAACAGCCTTAGCTCTATTCTAACTTCTGGAGTCTTTGATCTGAAACTATTTAGTTGATTAAGCCACTAGTTGAATAGAACTTGTTAGCTTGCCAAGTTGTCAATTATTCATTATTACTGTACCTTTACAACCCACAAAACACCTTCATTAGTTTCTTTGTCTGTGCTGATTTTGAAATGTCCGTTTTCATTGCCCTTCAAAATGGTAAAATTGGCTCTCCAATTGGCAGTGTTAATTAAATCCTTATCTTCTACAGGTATTCGTAAGATCTCCACATTGTATGCGTTTTCCTCTACTGATGCTTCGTACTGAAACAGAAAGAACTCATTAAAAACTTACTTTATAAAGAGAACTTCTACAAAGTAAAATATTTCTTCCACTCCAAGAATACTGATTCTTACAGTTTTTATCTAGTTTATTTTAAAGCTGTGAATTACAAGGACTGTTGTTTCATTAAGGATTATCTTTGAAATGAAAGAACTACATTATAAATGAAGACAAATGTTACTTGCTTTTATAGAAGGAGATCATATAAATACTACAATGAATAAATAAGAGAGATTTATATGTCAGCTATTTAAATTCTAATTTTATTCATAAAAAATAAACATACATCAAAGTATGCTAGACACTTTGTTAATTCATATTAAATAACAAATGATAGTTGACAAGTGGAGGTAGATTCTGAAACTATATACTTACAGTATTTTGTTTGAAAGTAGGTGCGTTGTCATTTGAATCTTTTACTGTGATCATACAAGTTGATGTACTCATCAATCCAAAAAACTGACCATCCATGTCTTGTACTTTCATTATCAGTGAGTACTTTTCTACAGACTGAAAACAAAGCAAATATTTAATCAGTTCTGGCTTTGACTTACAAATGAAACCTCAGTTGTACACTCTTCTATTTGTGCATATCCATGCTTTTATTGGATTCCATATTTGTATACACTTTAAGAACTTGGTAGACAGGGAGAAGCTGAAAAGGTAAATAGAGGTTAAATTACAAAAAGCCATACTAAGAATTTAGACTTATACTTTAAGTAGCAGGTAACTGGGAAAAGTTTTGTGGGAGTCCTAGAAGGAGCACAAAATAAGAACATCTGAGTTTTAGAAAGAAATTTCTTAAAGAAGATTCAGCATCATTCTTAAAGAAGATTTAGCATCATTTGTGGTAAACTAAGCTGAAAGTCAAAGAAATCGTCTAAGACAGGGTATCCAAATCTGAAGCAGTGGCCATGAGGACAGACAGAAAGGGTAACAGGCAAGTTCCTTGAGAGTTAGCATTTAGTGGGATGTGACGGTAGATTCTATATAAAACCTAAGAGAGGTGATTAACATAACATAATAAAAAAAAACTAATGATGTAATGTATGGTGATTAACATAACATAATAAAAAAAAAGAGTACACTTTTCCTGATGAGCACTGAGGAATATACAGAATTACTGAATCACTCAATTATACACCTGAAACTAAAATAAGAGTGTATGTTAGCTCTACTGGAATTAAAATAAAAAATTTTTTAAAAATTAAAAAAAAATAAAAACCTAAGAGAAAAGAGAGAGTTGGGAATGATGCTCAGCTGTCATCCTCGGGCAGGCAGAGGGTGTGTGTGTCATCAACCATTGCAGCAAATGCCGAAGGAGAGCCCAGTTCTCCATGGAAGTGAACACTAGCAAGGTTGGCAAGGAGGGCCAAAAGGAATGAGCTGTGTTTGGCATATGCTGGATTTTATGCGCCTATGGGGAATCTAAGGAGAAAGGTTCAGAAGGCACTTGGATGTATGGCCCCATACTTACGGGAGAGTTCACAGCCAGAAATACCAATCTGGGGGTCATTAGTATGTAGATGCTGGTTGAAATTATAGCAGCAATCAGATTATCTAGAAGAGGTTAACGGATGAGAAAAGCTGAGGACAGAAGGAACAGTAGCATTTCAAGCATGGGGGAAGTAGGAAGACTAAGCTACGCACACTAAAAAGGAAAGATCAGAGAAACAGGAAAAGAACGAGGAAAGAGAACAGTTTTATTAAGTGCCAGCAACAGACAGGGGCTTCAGGCAACAGGTGGATGTGGTCATTAGGAGGTCACCGTGGACTTCAGTGAAGAGAATTTTTGCAAATGGTGTGATGATGATGAAATGAACTCATTACTTTATGACACAGTTACCACTGTTGCCTTTCTCTTCTCTCTTACCCATTAGCCACTCCTTTCATTTTGTTTTCACTTTTTTACTTTTCTCCGTTTTCAATTTCCTGCTATCTCTTCTTCCAGTGTTCATTTTGCTAACCACCCCTTCCACATTGGAAACCAACATTCCCACCCTGAAATGCTCCTCCTTTAGGCCCCACTGTCTGATACCCTGCTTTTTCTTCCTCTAAATGCACTGGGGTTTTTTATCTCTCTTGTTCATTTCTTTCTTTCCGCTGTTGTTCCCACAACACACTTCGTGGTTACTCCCCGAAAAATCGTGTTGACTTTTTTTGATCAGGAAAACAGACCTGGGGGTTGCCTCAGTTGGTTAAACGACTGCCTTTGGCTCACGTCATGATCCTGGAGTTCATGGATCGAGTCCCGCATGGGGCTCCCTGCTCAGCGGGGAGTCACTTCTCCCTCTGACCCTCCCCCGTCTCATGCTCTCTCTAGCTCATTCTCTCTCTCAAATAAATAAATAAAATCTTAAAAAAAAAAAAAAAGGAAAACAGACCTGGGTTTGACCACAGATCTGTACCTTACAAGCTGTGCACCCCCAAATTATTTAATTTTCCTAAAGCCTCATTTCTCCATGTGTAAGAAATGAAGGAAAATGCTTGTTTTTGCTTCATTACTACATAGACTCTACCTATCCCACATATCGAAAAACACATTCATATTGCCCCTTCAAACCTGCCCATTAGTTATTACCATCCTGTGCTTTCTCACATAAACTGTCCTGACCACACATAAAAATAAAAATAATGACAAATAGAACTTTTATACTATTTTTGATTCCTTTTCATGGGTTCTCATCATCCCTTCCCTTTTTCTTTGGCATCAAATTCCACTGATTTCTTCTGTACATTATCTCTCCATGTCATACTGACCCCTCTATTTGTGTTAATCTGGTTGCAGTGGGAACCACTGAAGTGTTGTAATCGAGCTCTTTAGTGCACATGAAATTGATTAATCTGCTTCAGTCAATAATTCAGGGCTCTGAGTTAAACACAGGCTGACAATATAGACAGAGCAACAATAACAAAAATCAAAGATTCAGTGCAGTAATTTGATTCACGCGAATCACTCTTTCTGTCACGTTTGTCCTCTATAAACTGGATGGAACACTTACCTAGTTAAGCAAGGAAATTATAAAGACCAAATAATAATTATGCATAAAGAATTTGAACATAAAGTGCTATATGCCTGACGATATGCTAGTATTATCATCCAAACAGTGTGACAGGTTTCATAATAATCCATCAACCTTTTATCAACTAATTCATTCCTCATAAAAAGCACACATCAAGCAGCGCCTGGGTGGTTCAGTCGGTTAAGCCTCTGCCTTCAGCTCAGGTCATGATCTCAGGGTTCTGGGATCGAGTCCCACATCGGACTCCCTGCTCAGCAGGGAGCCTGCTTCTCCCTCTCCCTCTGCTGCTCCCCCTACTTGTGCTCTCTCTCTCTCTCTGTCAAATAAATAAATAAAACCTTAAAAAAAAAGCACATATCAAGTATCAACAGTAACTGGAGAGGGATCAGTCTATGATCTAAACTCATGCAACAAGCAAAATTAATTGTCCTACATGAGAACTGAAGGCTTTACTGAGCTGGAACCAACTAGCCACACACAAGAATAGAATGATAGTTAACAATAGCAACTTTCGTAAGAAATATACTTTGTTCCTACTCCTTCTAAGCACCAACTGATCTGCATTAATCCTATGGCTTCTCTTACTGAAGGAAACAGAATATTTAAAAAAACAAAACAAAACAGGTAACAAGACCAGAAATTCTTATTGTCTTCACCTAAATAAAATAAAATAGAAACACCTAAGACCACGGGAGAGCAAACTACAGTAAATGGGGTAGGGATCTCAGCCCCCAGTAAAATGATGTTCCTCGGAGTGGAAAGCTACCTCTCTGTCCAAATAATGAGAGGTTATGGTGATGACACCTGTGCTGGGATGCACAGCGAAGATCCCAGGGGACCTCGGGGTCTGCTCCAAAATGCTATACTTCAGGCGTGTGTGCATCGTGTCTGGTTCATCTCTGTCTGTGGCACAAACCACTCCCACGGTAGTACCTACAGGTTTAAAAAAAAAAAAATTTAAAAAAAAAAAAAAGAGTCTTTAATTTCCAGAACTGTGAAACATATTTAGGAGTATTTACACTTTTCAGATTTTAACAATGATAGTGGCAATCTAATTTTAAGTATATTTCTTACCAGAGCTATTTTATCTTTAGGAAGCACCAATGAAGAGGACTTCAAATATATAATGTAAAACACTATGATCCCGGGAATCAAGGTACACTTTTACTCTGTTCATTGTTAAAAAATGTTTGATAGTGAATTACTAAAAACTTAATTTAAACGGCAATCAAGAATATTTTCAACATGGGGCGCCTGGGTGGCTCAGTCAGTTAAGCGTCTGCTTTCAGCTCAGGTCATGATCCCAGGGTCCTGGGATGGAGCGCCACGTGGGCCCCCTGCTCCGCGGGGAGCCTGCTTCTCCCTCTCCCATTGACCCCTGCCCCTGTTCCCCCTCCCCACTCATGCTCTCTCTCTCTCTCAAATAAATAAATAAAATCTTTAAAAAAAAGAAGAATTTCAACACATATTTCCACACACTTCAATAACAAACCTACCTGGAGACAGAGACCATGTTTCCTAAGTAAATCAAATTTTTTAATTTAATTTCTGATTAATAGATATAGATCACGACTGACTTGGGGTATAATTGTGTAAATGGTCAAGCTGACCTTTAACAGTCTAATCTCCATTCTCTGATGTTTTTTACTCGTCTCTGACATGTCTCATTCTCTGTCACCCACTTTGTATCAACACCCCACTGCCTTCAGCCCTACTTAATCCTCAGGAAGGGATTTCATACTATTCACCCTTCAGGAGGAATTTAAGCCAACTGCTTGTTCAGCTGGAGCTATTAACACTTGTCATCTGTATGGAATGTAAGAATATTGCTCTGGTAAAGGATTATAGGTATCAGAGCTTACAAAGAGTTGGTATTGTTTAGTGTTAAGGACAGTGTTCTAGTGACCATGAAAATATAATACATAGATCCACTTTTCCTATAGCCCTGTATATAAGGCTGAGGAACAATACATAGACAGATACAGTCACACATACTCCCACACATATACAAATTTGTTGAAATACTGTATTTGAAAGAAACAAAAACCAATTAATGCAAGAAAATACTAGTTTTAAATAATTTTTCACTATAATATGTCTTTAAAATTTGCATATGTGTATATGTAAACAAATACATATATGCACATACACATAAAAATTGTAGAGAATCCATATGAGTGGATCCATATGAAGATATGAAGTAATCATATTATGGTAAGAAAACAAATGCTATTTATCTACATTTGCATAGAAAAAGAGTTTCTAATCTTTGTAAGGCAGAATATTTTCTTCCTGAGATTTTACTGACAGGACACAAACACTATTTTAATTCTCTGGATAAGAACTGCTTTATGTATCACAGAAAATCTTCCTAAAATATTGACTTCAAAAGTCCTTTTCATGAGTGCTATACTTAAATATTAGTTGAGCACCCTTCATCCAAACCTCTGTATGTGAATTAAGGCAAAGTCAAGGAACACCTAATAGTTCAGAGTATCACAGTACAAACTGGTTCGAACCTTCTTGTGTGAGAAGGCTTCAAGTGCCTTAGGTTAATCTGGGCATCAAAGTATTTGCCCTTGATTCTTGTCTGTCAACTATCAAAGAGAACAGAATCCTCAAGAAAGACTTTGCAACCAATAATCTCTCTTTGAAAAAAAGAAAATAGTACCAGAGTCATAGACACTGTGAAGCTAAAAATTTTATAGGTCATCTAATGTAATTAACTCCTTTTACTGGTCAGGGAACTCAAAGGGACTTCCACCATTTCCCACAGTAAATTAATAACAGACCCCAAATCAAAAATTAGGTTTCTTAAACTCCAAACCAACATTTTTTATTTTTTATTTGTACCATATGAGTAATAAAGAGGTTAACATCTATGACATCAAATTATCAGAGTAATATATAAAGGGGAATAGCAGATATAAAAATCTAGTGAAGATCTAAGTAACTACTTGAAACTTTAAATAGGCAAGTTAGCAAACTCACCCTTTATGAATGAGTCCACATTCTTTCAACTTTATTGTGAATGGTTATTCTCCATATTGTAAGTCTCAGAAAGCAACATAATGCCACATTTTAAGGGCCAACTAACCTGAACACTTTGTTTTTCCATATGTCTGAACAAATGTTTAGAACATGTGATGGAGGTGTCTCTAATGTTATCCCCGTATCATTCTAAATTGGAAGTAATAAAGTAGTAGTTTTAAGAAAGGAGATAATATAAATAAGAGCTATAAAAAATTGTGTTTTCAGTAGATGTCATTAAATACCTCCCTAAATAAAACCTAATAAAAATATAGATATTAATTTTAATTTTATTGTATTCCTATTCTGTATGTCCTCTCTTGGAGGTGAGAATAATGATAAACCCACAAAACGATAAAGTGAAATAAACTATAAAAACTAAATACAACTCAAAGCTTGAGTAACTGTTATCTGCTTTTATAATTAATTGGTATCATGTTGACAACACCAGACTCCTATAATATCTTGTAGGCTACACTCTGTTTGGATGTAATAGGATTACCCATTCTGGTAAATAGATACTGGTTCAGTATCATCTCAGGATAATTTGGTCTTGGGTATAAAAAACCCAATGTCTCAAAAAATGTAGATAAACGTATTTAACATAATACATTTTACTTTTAAAAGTTCCCTTACACAAGGGAAACAAAGGCAAAAATGAACTATTGGGACATCATCAAGATAAGTTTTTGCACAGCAAAAAACAGTCGACAAAACCAAAAGACAATGGACAGAATGGGAACAGATATTTGCAAATGTCTTTTCAGATAAAGGGCTAGTATCCAAACTCTATAAAGAACCTATCAAACTCAACACCCAAAGAACAAATAATCCAATCAAGAAATGGGCAGAAGACATGAACAGACATTTCTGCAAAGAAGACATCCAAATGGCCAACAGACACATGAAAAAATGCTCAATAGCACTCAGCATCAGGGAAATACAAATCAAAACCATAATGAGATACCACCTCACACTGGTTCAAATGGCTAACATTTACAAGTCAGGAAATGACAGATGTTGGTGAGGATGCAGAGAAAGAAGAACCTTCTTATACTGTTGGTGAGAATGCAAACTGGTGCAGCCACTCTGGAAAACAGTATGGAGGTTCCTCAGAAAGTTGAAAATAGCGCTGCTTTACAACCCAGCAATTGCACTACTAGGTATTTACCCCAAAGATACAAATGTAGTGATCGAAAGACACACCTGCTCCCCAATGTTTATAGCAGCAATGTCCACAATAGCCAAACTATGGAAAGAGCCCAGATGTCCATCAACAGATGAACAGATAAAGATGATGTAGTAATATATATATCTATATATGTGTAAATATATATAGATATATATACACACAATGGAATAATACTCAGCCATCAAAAAAATGAAATCTTGCCATTTGCAATGATGTGGATGGAACTAGAGGGTATTATCTAAGCGAAAAAAGTAAATACAAGAAAGACAATTATCATATGACCTCAACTCATATGTGGAATTTAAGAAACAAAACAGGATCGTAGAGCAAGAGAGGGAAGAATACAACAAGAGGAAATCAGAGGAGGAGACAAACCATAAGAGACTCTTTATCATAGGAAACAAACTGAGGGCTGCTGGAGGGGAGGGGGGTAAGGGTGAGGGGATGGGGTAACTGGGTGATGGACATTAAGAAAGGCACGTGATATTGTATAAGACTGATGAATCACTGACCTCTACCTCTGAAACTAATAATATATTATATGTTAATTGAATTTAAATTTAAAAAATAAATAAATAAATAAAAGTTCCCTTACCATAAAGTATGAAAGGAAAAGGCCTTTCTGAATCTAATAAGGATAGATTTAACTAAATGGAAGTCCTGAACTTCTTTACCTCAAAAAAGTAGCTTTAATAAAATTGAAGAGCAACAATACACTGGGAAAATATTTTCAGTGTGACAATAGGTTAATATCCCTTAATATGTAAAGAGCATTTTTAGCTAGATTTAAAAAAACAGTAAGCAAGATAAACAAGGAAAGTAAGAGCAAAGGAAATGAACATACATTTCCTAGAAGAAAAAATACAAATGGCAAAAGAAAGCACATACAAAAAAGTTCAATTAAAAAAAATTATCTTACCAACTCTGCTACTTTCTGGAATTTCAAAATTATAAATAGCTTCTGTGAAAATAGGGTGGTTATCATTTTCATCCTCCACCCTGATGGGCAGTGGAAGAGGTAAGTCTGCTGAATATCCATCTGCAGTCGAGGCATAGGCAATTAACTGGAAAACAGGAAAAAAGCAAGACCAATAGTCCATTAATATAAGATTCTAGCAAGAGAGAACACTGTGCTTTATCTGCTACCTTCTCTGCAAATCTTTCTGGTAATTAACCGCTTAAAAAATTCTATTCAATTCTTTTTTCATCATCAAAGCATCAAATGGAAAAACATTTTAAGTGCAGTAAGAGGCATCCAGTATTTGGTAAAAATGGCTGCAATTCAAATAAAACTCGAGTACAGTCAAGCCAGAGACAACTCTGTCCATTAGACTCAGGTTAAAGTCCTTATTCTCCCCATAATCAGAAAGTTATATTGGGGAGAACAATTAAATTCACTGCAACGGGAAAGATCCTACTACATCATCTAAATAAAGCCATGATTCTCAATCTTGCAACTAACAAGCCCTTTTATTTTTCTACCTCATAGATCACATATTTGTAAGAGATTTTCTAACAAAACATATTTACCAGTTTCTGCATTGCGAATTAATCAAAGGGTAACGTAATGTCAAATAGAACGTATTTCTTTTTTATTTAAATTCAATCAGCCAACATATAGTATTTCTATTCAGCGTGTGATTACAACACCCACTTGAAAATTTTCTAAACAAAAGCAAAGAAATGTCATGTGGTGAACATCAGTTTCATTTGCTTACCAGCATCTCTTCCTTCTTCTAGGAAGAGAATCCCTCTTTCTTAAGGAGAAACATCCCCCCCTGCACCACAGGGATGACCACATGACCCCACAGAATTTACCATATTACACTGAAAATTGTCTGAGTTATTCCTCATTGACTGTAAGCTCATTCATATCAGAAGGCTGACTTATTGACTTTGTTTGGGTTTGTTCTCCCACCTTTGCTTCCTTATCTAGTTCTCAGACATGATCAGAGAATCACATAAGTGAAGGAAGAACCAAAAAAAAATTTCTAAATAAATAAATAAAGAGAACAGAGCAGAAGAGGGAAGAAGTCCCTTCCAATCAATGGTGGCCACATCCTGGAGACAGGAAAATGTAGCATGAGAAGAGACAGAAAGTATCTCATCAACAAAACCAACTCCAGGAAATGTACCGGAATTTACATCCAAATACAACTAAACCTTTTTGCTTCACTTTAAGCTTACCCAACAGAAGGTAAAATAGAGAGCAGATCAAATATTCCAAAATATTGCACAACCTATTTCCTTTGACTCTGAGAACGCAAGAAGATAGGAAAGAGTACATGGAGTATCAGAAGAAACATAGTTTAATCATTTAAAATCATGTATATCAATAAAACTCCTACATCAAAAATATCGTATTCTTCACGATCCACAGGCCGGGTACAATACAGATTTCCAGTGTCTTTTTCTATGAAAAACAAATTCAAAGGTTCTTGGTCAACTCCACGCCCACTTATTGAGTAGAAGATGGTATAGTTCTGTGCTGCATCAGACTGAACCTAAGAAGGAAAAACCATATTTTTAAAAACTTTAAATTAAAATCTGTTGAATTGCTATTTTTTAAGATGTAGGTTATGCATTTCTATTTTTTTTTTATTTTAAAGAGACGTTCATAAAATAACAATCACATTTATCACTTCATCAGCACACAAAACAGTAAGGAGCATTTGGCAAAAGATTTTTTTAAACTCTCAGACTTAATGAAAATAATGTTCAACATAAAGAGTAACCAAAGAAAATGTGTTTAAAAACAATAAAGCATAATTTCCCATCTAGAGATCTGGCAAAGATAGAAAAGAACTTCAATACCCATCGTTAGCAGGAGCCAGGCCATCAGGGACTCTCATATACAGGTGAAGGGAAAGTTAATTTGAATGTTTCTTAGGGAGGGGAACTGGCAAAAATTAAAAGAATGACATATGAGCATAAATAGGGAAGACTCTTCCTGGCAGAGGAAACACAAAGTACAAAGGGACCGGGTTAGGGTTGTACCCAGAGTATTCAAGGAGCAGTAAGGAGACCACTGTGGTTGGAGCAGAGAAAGCTAGCAGGCAAGAAGTAGGAGATGATCGCCGTATCATATAAATGATTCCAAGAGTGTTGACTTTTCCTTGTAGTCAGGTAAGAAGCCATTGGAAAATTTAGACAAGAGTAATATACGTAATTCATATTTTCAAAAGATAATACTTGGTGTTTTGTTAAGACTACACGTGGGTGGGTAGGTAAGCAAAGAAGCAGGAAGACCATTTAGTTACTGCAAGAATTCATGACAGCAGTAGGGGTGGTGAGAAATGCTTAGATTCTGGATATAATTTGCAGGAACCGCCAACGGGATTTGCCAATGGGCTGGATGTGTGTTGTGAAGATGACACTATGTCAGAGGGTGCTAATATCCCCTAACATCTATTCTGCCCATGTTCCTTTGTGTTGGAATTTATAGCTGAGTGCAAGACTGCCCAAAAGAAATACATTTCTCAGGCTCCCTTATAATTAGGTACGGTCACATGAAAAGATCGGGTTAATGGGATATGAGCAGAAATAACATATGCATGCCCTAGACTGTGCTCTGGAAAGTGAAGGGATGTGTTCCCCCATTTGGACACAATGATGAGCTATCTTGAGCCGGCAGAGATGGCCAAGCTAAAAAAGAAAGAAGTCTAGGTCCTTGGTGATTTTTCAAATTAGAATCTCTTTACCAGATCACAATTTCACATAAAAGAAATACATTTCTGTCATGCTTATGCCACTCAGTGGCACTTTGGTTCCTGAATTAGTGGCTGCCCCATCATGGAGAAAACAGCATGTCCCCTGGTTGTGGATTCTGCAGTGTAGCTTGGGGAGTCATTCCTGAAAGTTCAATCTAAATTTTGTGTCTTCAGTCCCCCAATTCTGTCAACTGCTTATACGCTGTAATAAATCCCTATCTGTCAACTACTTAGAAGTATGTTCTCTACAACTAAAACCTTACCCAATAGACTCTAATACCCCAACAACTGAAAGAATGGAGGTACCACTGATTGAGATGGAGGATGATTTTGGGAGAAAACCCAAACTCCTTTTTTCTGCATATGTTACGTTTGAAATGTCCATTAAGCTTCCAAGTGGAAATATCAATTAGGCAATCTGTCCTAGAAACATGAGGTAATATCCGATAGATGGTAGTACTTAAAGCTACCGGACCGGATGAGATTACCGAGAGAGTGCATATAAATAAACAAGAGACAAAGTTCATAGGCTGAGCCTAGAGCTCTCCAAAGTTTGGACGGGGTGGGCATACGGGAATGAGGAGGAACCAGCAAAACATACTAAGAAAGAGTGGCCGGTGAGGTAAGTGGAAAACTAGGTGGGTGGTGTCCTAGAAGCCAAGCGAAGAAAGCATCTGGAGGAGAAGGAAAGGGTCAGCCATGTCAAATGGACACAGGTCAAAGGAAAAGAGGGCTTGGGAGGTGGCGACTGGCTTAGCAATGCAGATGCTAAAATTAGCTATCATCAGTATAACCCTGGTGATCAGAAATCATTCTTAATACGCCTCCTGAGTGCTTCAAGTACAAAATTTGCAAAGAAGAAACAAGGTCTAGCACTGAAGGGTGGGAGACACTGGAAGGGATGGAATTGGAACATCAAGCACAGCAACAGGAAAAGGCAAGCACTGGGCCAGAGCCCTACCTCAGCAACTGCTTTCATTGTATATGTTCCATCTAGATCTTTATGAAAAGTAAACCTGACCTGGTTAAAAACTCCTGTTTTTTTAGGAAGAAGTTAAATTCCCTAACAGGACACACATGGTCCATTATGGCTTGGCCACTACCTGCCTCTTTGGCCTCATCTTCCTGCTCCAGCCCCATCATAACCAGGAGGGCTGAGCTACCCAGGAGCTGCTAAGGGGCTCGCCTTCACCTCCGTACCTCCCTCTTCTTCCACAATTACTAACCTGCACGACACTTTCCCATCCTTTAGGTCCTAGCTCAGATGTCTCCTCATCTAAGTCTTTTCTCGATTTGTCCATTTCATCCCAGGATTTGGTGATGATCCCATGAAGTCTCAGATCACTCGAACCATCTCCGCCACAGCACCCATCACTCAGTATCGTAACCGAGTGCCTACCTCTGTCTTCCTTACTAGGCTCATAACCTATGTGAGAGCCAAGGTATGGCTAAATTTATTTCTAGGGTCGTACTTAGAGCAGTGCCTTCTGTGGGACATAGCAGGTCCTCAATAGCCAGCTGCTAAATGAACGAATAAGCTCATAAAGATCATTTACTGGTTGTAGTCTTTTTCATACTATGATTAGTTTTTTAGCGATTTTCTCATTTTACTTACTTTGATTATACTTCATGAGTATCTTCAATCAAATCTGTTTCTTTTTAAATATCTAAAGAGTTATGAAACCTGAACAAAACAGACTCTGGGAATTAAAACACTCCCAATGAGAAAGAATGTAAAACCTACCTGTTGAAGAAATAAAGGGAACGGGCCCAGCGAATTCTCTTGCATTGAGCAGGGAATAGGAGCCCATCTCCTCTTGGAACGCCTGAGAACGGCTTCTTTAGTGTCTCTTTTCCTCAGTACCTGAATTTAGAGACAGAAAATTAAATAAATAAAAGTATCACAGCTGACTTTGTGGTGAAGGAGTGGACAGTCCCTCAGCCTCATGCCTCCCTGGAGGCTCAGTCTCAGGAGTTTCCAAGCTGAAGCTAACGGCCAGATAATAAGGTCTTTTTGTGTTAGATGGGGAAGAAAGAATGCATCCACAGTTTAAGTTTCATAAACTGAAGAATTTCATTTTGTATACTTTTCTAACACTGACCAAACTTTCAAGTTAGGAAAGTCATCACTGCACTCTTGGTTTTTCTTCTTCTTTCCCACGTAGAAATAGTGAACGCGTCCTCTTTCTAACACTCTAAAGACAGCCTATTCTTTCTGCTAAAACCTCACTCTCTCAAGAGAACCAGAGCAAGAAAAGGCACATTCTTCATTGCCTTAACACTCCAATCTGCGCTCTCTAATATGGTAGCTCTAACTATATGTGACTATTTAAATGGAAATTGGTTGTAATTAAATAAAATATAAAGTGCCATCCTTTGGTTGCACTAGCCACATGCCAAGTGCTCACTAAGCATTAATATTACACTACCATATCAGACAGTGCAGATTATAGAACATTTCCATCATCCTGAAAAGTTCCATTGGACTTTCGAGTGATTTCCATCCCATTGCATGGTGTTGCAAGGAAGCTATTTTATTTCCTAACAATTAATTAATAGATAATTTTATTGAACATGTATTAACGTGCTAAATAGTCATTTAAATTAACTTTCTCATTAATTCACTTAACATTGTTCGTTGTAACCCAGTCTAAACCTTTCATCATTTTTGTGACAACCTTCACAATGGCATTCCTCACGATGTAGAATCTAGAACTGCAGCGAATGACAGCCAATACCATGCCGTGTATCCAAATACTTACACACACTTCAGGATTCCCATCCTATTTTAACATCAGAATCACTGTGACACTTGAAATCGGCCTCTTATTCACTGGAAACCACTGTTCTTACCATTAATTTAACATAAACCTATTGACTACAAGTTAGGTATTACCGAGGCTACAAGCACAAAAGGAATCAATCCGTGCCCTCAAGCAACTACAGATAAATTGTTTGCACAAATAAAAAAAAAAAATTCCAAATGCTTACAGAAGAGGGGTAACCAAACTGACACGGACACACAAAAGCAATGAGTTGGACTTTAGAGGTGGAAGAAGCCTTCCCAGAGGAGGTGCCAATTAGGATCCACAAAGCAAAACCCAAAGCCAACGGTTAGCCAGTGTTGGTGGGTGAGAAGGGGACGAGAGAGGGGGAGGGAGGGAAAGCAAACTGAAGGTGAGGGAAAAGAAGAGAATAAAAACCCATTTATCCTTTTGTCCTCTTTGCAATATTGTTAACTTTTGAATTTTTTTTTAAGATTTTATTTATTTGATAGAGAAAGAAAAGAGAGCACAAGGAGGGAGAAGCAGGTTCCCCGCTGAGCAGGGAGCCCTACGCGGGGCTCGATCCCAGGACCCTGGGATCATGACCTGAGCCGAAGGCAGACGCTTAACTGACTGAGCCGCCCAGGCTGCCCCTCCCCTTTGCAATTGTTAATGAAAGTATTTAAATTAAAAGCAAAGCATGCCTGAAAATATCAATGTATTTTGAATACCTTCTTCTGACGTTCCAGGAGCACCTTAATCTTCTTCTGTGTCTGGGTCTTGGTGTCAGAAAGCCATATGGTGAATGATCTGTTCTCATCAGACAACACCACATTGCTGGCTGTGTATACTGAGCCGTCATCGAGAACTCTGAAGTCAGGGTCACCCGACTGGATGAGGTCTGCAGACCTGAGGCACTCTTTCAAATTAACTGCAAGCAAAAGTTTCCAAGTTGCAAAGTAGAAACACATGCAGAAAGAAAAAAAGAAGTGTTAAAACAATGTATACATCTTCAAAATCATGAAGTAAAATAAAATAAACCAATCACTTCGTATTTACCAAATACCTTAGATTCTTTACATGTATAAAAAAAAATAACTGTCTTTCAGTTAAAAAATAATTCTTGATTGTATACATTTCTTAAGCAAGGTGTTTTTAAACCTTTATATGTTTCTAGAGGCTTATGAAAATGATCTTCCTGTTAAAGAGGCGTGTGTGCTGCAATCATGACCAAGCCGAGCTACATGCCCCCATACACAGCTGAAGAAACAAACAGAAAGGTTCCCCTCCCCCCCCAACACTATAGGTTTGAGTCTTTTAAGACTCAGTCAGAAGTTAAACACATGAGCCCAAAGAGCAACAGAGGGTATGAATTTGGCAAATAGTCAGGTAAGGAAAGGCTCTCTTTGAAATCTTTCACGGGCACTCCTGTTATCCACCTCCGGCCAACCACCAGCCCCCCCTACACCCACAGTTCTCTCTGCGTTCCTAGCCCTAGCTTTCCGGGGCTCCTCACTGAAACTCTGCATGTGGGTCTTCTCTCCCTGGGAGTTTTCCTCCTGGGAGTAAAAAGTAATAAAATATAAAGATCAACAGCAGTGGTTTGAAACTTCTATCAAAAGTATCGAATTCATCTCATTCTTCAACTATCTGTTTTAACAACCACCGAACTGATATATTAAGGCGCACTTAAGTAATAACCTCTCAAGGGATTACTGTTACCCATGTAAAGCCTTGTCACTTTGATTCAAATCTGTCACCGATGGAAATGCTGAATCAAAAAGAAGTGAACATCTTTAGGAACGATGACATATTTCTCTCATCTTCACATTTTTAGCATAATGATAACCGCTCGTCTATCCCCCAAAGGAACACCCCCCTCTTTTACATCCTCTTTTTCTTCCTTCCCAAAGGAATTAAAGTGACATTTGTTTGATAAAAATTAAAAGACACACTTAACCAGAAATGGGACACTTCGCTGAAAAAGTAAATTTGATATGTCTGGGACAAGCTATATCTTTTTAAACAAAACAAAACATGATGCTTTCCTCTTGTATTCCCTAGATCACATGAAGAGTCCACCTAGGCAGAGCTTTCCAGCTGTTGGGAAAGTTTATAAAGTTCCCCAAATTCTCCATGTGAATTGAATAAGTTCAGTTTGGATGGAATGGCTCATCTTGTGATGTTCCTCAATGGAGCTCTAGCACTGATTAAAAAAAAAAAAAAACTGATCTGATTTTCTCAGCCACTTATCTATACTTCTCTAATCCTTAGAATACTAGGGTAATGAAAGCATTACATTCTACATGTAACTTTTTTTAAAGATTTTATTTAGTTATTTAATGAGAGCACGCACCCGAGAGTGGAGAGAGGGGCAGAGGGAGAGGGAAAGAGGGAATCCCAAGCAGGCTCCATGCCCAGCCCAGAGACCGATGTGGGGCTGGATCTCAGGACCCTGAGATCATGACCTGAGCTGACATCAAGAGTCAGATGCTTAACCGACTGAGCCACCCAGGTGCCCCCTACATGTAACTCTTTATGTAATCTTTAAACTGCTAAAACATAAATGACTACAAAAATGGGGATTTAGAATATTTGCACTGGAATCAACCACAGAATTCAATAGGGTTATAAAGAATAGAATATATATTTAAAACTATCTTGAATTGTATCTAAGTATAAATAGATTAAGGCTAATTCCAGAGGATAATATCCAAAGATTGGATGATATACTCTTTTCAGCATAAGTAAACTAAATTTGTTTTAAAAACACTTGTTTTGAAATTTCTCACCTCTGCCGACTATTTTGTCTGCCTCTAGTTCAGAAGGTATGTTAAATGTCACCTTTTCACAGCCCTCACAAGCAAAACTGAAGACCTAGAATTAAGAAAAAAAAAGGTCACATTAATACAGCATAGAGTAAAGAACAAAGTTTCAGATAAACAAGAAAAGTAGGTCCTAGAGATCTACTGTAAATATAGTGCCTATAGTTAACAATACCATATTATATACTTAAAATTTCTGCTAAAAGCATAGTGCTCTTATCATAAGAAAATAATACAAATTAAATAAAAAGGGTGAGAGGAAACTTTTAGAGATAATGGATATATTTATGTCATAGATTGTGGTGATGATTTCACAGATGTATACTTATCTCCAAACTCATCAAGTTCTATATATTAAACATGTACAGCTTTTTGTATGTCAATCTTGCCTCAATAAAGTGGTTTAAAAAAAAAGAAAAACAAAACCACATGATTATCTCAATAGATGCAAGCAATTGACAAAATCCAACCTCTATTTACAATTAAAAGCCATCAACAAACTAGGAATACAAAGGAACTTGCTCAACATGATAAAGGACATGTATGAAAAACTTACAACCAACATCATACTTAATGAAGAAAGACTGAATGCTTTCCTTTGACATCAGCAACAAGACAATGACGCACTCTCTCACCACTTCTATTCAACATTATACAGGAGCTTCTAGACAGGGCAAATGTACATGCACACACATGCGCGCGCGCACACACACACACATATATACACACACAAATCAAAGGCCTCTAGATTGTAAAGGAAGGAGCAAAAAGTCTCTTTTTGCAGATGATGTGATCTTGTACGTAGAAAATCCAAAGGAATCAAAAATAATAAATGAGTTCGGCAAGGTTGCAAGATACAAGATTAACATACAAAAGTCGACTACATTCCTATATACTAGCAATAAAAAAATCTGAAAATAAAGGTAAGCAACTACTTCCATTCATGATACGTGTTCCATCTTCATGGATCAGAAGATAAATTTCCAAAATTCACCAGAGTCAATGCAATCCCCATTAAAATCCCAAAAAGCTTTTTTCAGAAATTAAAAATTAATCCTTGTAGAAACGCAAGGGACCCAAAGACCCAAATAAACTTGAAAAACAACTAAGTCGTAAGACTTACATTTCCTAATTTCAAAATTTACTACAAAGATACGATAAGACAGAGTGTTACTGGCATAAGGGTAAACATATAGACAAATGGGGCAGAACTGAAATCCTATAAATTAGCCTTTATATTTGTGGTTAGCCAATTTTGGGCAAAGGATTCAGAAAGTTCAAGGGAAATGGTCTTTTCAACAAAGGGTGCTGAGACAATTAAATATCCTCATTAAAAAATGAATTTGTACCCTTACCTCATACCACATGTAAAATTACCTCAAAGTGGATCACAGACCTAAAGAACTAAAACTATTTAGAGGAAAACTGAAAATAAATCTTTATGATCTTGGGTTAGGCAATGATGCCTTATAACACCAAAAGCACAAATGATAAAAGAAAAATGAATAGGACTTAATCAGATTAAAAACTTTTGCTCTTTAAAAGATACCATACTGCAGAAAGTGAAATTACAACCTACAGCATGGGAGAAAACATTTCCTAATCACGTAAAAATAAAGGACATATCAAAAAAATATTAAAAACTTTTACAACTCAATAATAAAAAGACAAACAAAAAATGGGCAACAGATTTGAGTAACTGTTATCCAAAGAAAATATATAAGCAGTCAATAAATGGACGAAAAGATGCCCAACATCATTAGGCCCTACAGTTAGGCAAACTTAAACCATAATGAGATACCCACTAGGATGGCTAAAATAAACAAGACAGAAAAAAAACAAGAGTCGCCAAGGATGGAACCCTCATGCATTGCTGGTGGAAACATAAAATGGTGCAACAGATTTGGAACATAGTTTGGCAGTTTCTTAAAAAGTTCATCATACACTTAACATATAGTCTAGCAATTTTACTCCTACCCATAAAAAATGAAAACCTACATCCACACAAAATCTTGTACACGAATATTCACAGCAGCATTATTTACAATAACCAACGAGTGGAAACACCCCACAGGGCCATCAACTTACAAATGGATACACAAAATGTGATACATTCAAATGAAATATTATTTAGTCATAAAAAGAGACAAGGAACTGATGTAATGTTACAACACAGATAAACCTAAAAAACATTATGCGCAGTGAAAGAAATGACACAAAGGAGCACATATTGTGTGATTCCATGTATATGAAATGTCTGAAAAGGGTAAATACATAGAAACAGACTAGAGTAGTTGTGTAGGGCTGGGGGTAGGAATGGGAAGTGACCATAAATAGGCATGAAGTTTCTTTTTAAGATAATAGAAATATTCTAAAATTAGATTGTGGTAATGATTGTGCATTCTGTAAATCTGCTAAAATTTATTAAATTGTACACAACGTATGTGAGTTTTATGGAATGTAAATTATATCTTTAAGAAAGTTTTAAAAAATGGATTACATTGTCATTGATATAAAAATCATTCTTTGCACACCCACCTCTACAAATTGGCAGTGAGAAGCTCTTCCACATTTACAAATTCACATAAGTAATTTCAGCAAGACAAAATTGGATAATAACCACAAAGAAGTATTTCACTTCTGACATAATCAAATGTAAAACAAATTCCTTCACAAAATTAAAAGTCATGGTGGTAACAAATTATAAATATATATATGCATATACATATGCTTAATCAAATCCTATACTAATATGTTAGTGCAATATAACTACAATGTAAGATCTATCTTATCCTTGCTTGAATTAGCAAGGAAAATAACACAAAGATAGGGTCAACATGTAAGAGTGTTGTTTAATTTAAATATAATAAGCAAAAAAGTCATTTTCACAGCATCATAATCATATTGCTGTGACAATAAAGCAATAAGTTGTTTGCTCTTAAAAATAATTCAACCATATGATGTATGCGCAATTGAATATTGTCCCTAAGAATATAGTTGTCAGCATAGGTGAAAAATGGTTTTATTTAATAATGCACCCATTGGTCCACCTATGTTTGAACTCTATAGTTGGTATTTCTGACCTATCAAAAGAAAGCCATGTTCAATATATGTTAATCACAACTCTTTAAAAAATATTTGAAGTTAAATATTAAATATTTAAATCAAATAGAACATATTATAATAAATGTGCATGTGCCTATCCAGATTTTTTAATTAATTTTGCAATTTTTGCTTTTTTTTTTTTGAAGTTTATTTATTTTAGTAACCTCTACATCCAACATGGGGCTCGAACTCATGACCCTAAGATCAAGAGTTTCATGCTCTTCCAACTGGGTTAGCCAGGTGCCCTGTTGCTTCATTTTTTTTATTAAAATTTACACATCTGGCTATGCTCTACTTTATTTCCATTTCTCTTCTTCAAGGAAGAGTTTCTTCTAAGTTGGCATTTATACTTCCTCATAGGCTCTTGTAATTTTATTATGTATGTATGCACCTATAAAATATAAGCTGATATTGTGTGCAGTATGTGTCTTTATGCATCTTTTTTCAACTTGCATTTTTCACTCAACAATATATTTAAGATTTTTCTAGCACTACACCACAGTTTATTTTGCTCATTCCCCTATGATAATCATTTAGACTGTATTCTTGTTTTCCATTTTCTCTATTACAAATGACACTCCAATAAACAGCTTTGCAGGTGCAGAATATTAGAAGAGAAATATATTACTCCAATTCAGTTAACTATTGCCAAGTTGCTGTCCAAAGTACTAACATCAATTTATATTAATGTCCCCAGAATATTAGATCCCTTTGTTTCTCATATTCTCTACTATAATTAATTATACTTGGCTTTTCTAATTTTTGCCCATTCGATAGCTGTCACTTTAATGTGCATTTTCTTAATTTCTAGTGAGACTGAATATTGTTTCTTCTGTTCATTTGCCATTTGCCTTCTGTAAATCATCTATTCCTCTCATTGAAGCATTTCATTATTGTCTTTTTTAATTATATTTTCCTTATAGATTTATGCAGGTTGCTTTTTTACTCTTTTAGTGGTATCATTCTGGATAAACAGTAATTCAGTTTTAAAGTAGTCAAATTTGTCAAGCATTTCCTTTAGTTTTCTTTTTTAAAGATTTTATTTATTTGAGAGAGAGAGATAGCACACAGGAGGGGTAGAGGGAGAGAACCTTCAAACAGACACCACCACCCCCACCTCACCAGTGTGCAGCCCAACTCCAGGCTTGATCTCCTGACCCACAAGATCCTGATCTGAGCCAAAACCAAGAGTTGGACACTCAACCAAATGAGCCACCTGGTAGTCAATTTCATTAAACATTTCTTCTAGTTTATACTTTTGTGTATTAATATCTCCCCCTCTACCCTGTCATAAACATATTATCTGGTATTTTCTAATAAAAATTTTAAAGTTACTGCCAACGTTTTAATCTTTTACTCATTGGGAATGTATTCTGTATGTGATTCACTATAGATACCTAATCTTATCATTTGCCATATGGATAGACAACTATATAGAACCAGTACCGAGCAACTCTTCCCTTCTTAACTCACAATGATAATGCTGCATACATCATATACATGGACCTCAAATACAGAATCTATTTCTGGGCCCTCTGCACTAATTCATCTGTGTATGTGTTTATCTCTACATCAACACTATATTGTTTAAATTAATATAGCTTTACTATAGATTGTAGTATTTGTTATGGTGACCCCAATCCCTATTATCTTCCTTTAAATTATGTTTGCTTTGTTAGCCTCCTACTCTTTCAAAAAATTCTTATGATCAGCTGACCAATTCCATGAAAAATCTTTCTACAATTTTTATCCAGGAAATTTGCTTACTTTTACTAGTTCTGGTAGTTTGTGAAGATAGTGTAGGATCTCCCAGGTAGCTAATCCTAAAGCTGGCAAAATGGCAATTAGATTTCTTTCTTTAAATCCTTAACCTCTTCTATTATTGCTGTTACATATTTTATCTGATGCATGTGCTTGTTAGGACCCCCAGTAGAATGCTGAATAGGAACAGCTATAGTGAGCATTGTGGATTTGTTTCTAATTTTAAAGATAATGTTTTTACCATTTCACCATTCATTAAGAGTTCCTTCCTTCCATCCCTCCTTCCTTCCCTCTTTTCTTTTCCCTTTTCTTTCTTCCTGTCTTTTTTCTTTTTAAAAATTTTTTTAACATTTCTTTTTTTTTAAGATTTTATTTATTTATTTGCGAGAGAGAGAGAGAGAGAGAGAGAGAGTGAGAAACAGCATGAGAGTGGAGAGGGTCAGAGGGAGAAGCAGGCTCGCCGCTGAGCCGGGAGCCTGATGTGGGACTCGATCCCAGGACTCTGGGACCATGACCTGAGCCAAAGGCAGTCACTTAACCAACTGAGCCACCCAGGCGCCCCTCTCTTCCTGTCTTTTTTCATTCATTAATTTTTGTTAGGTGTGCCTCAGTATGTTTAAAACAAACAAAAAAAAAGTTTATTCCCTTACATTCCTAGTCTGCTAAGAATATTTTATAGCAATAAATGTAATTTCCACTTACTTTGAAACATATAGTTTTTCTCTCTGAATATGTTACTATGTTAAAATACAATAATAGTTTTCTAGGATGCCTGGTGGCTCAGTCGGTTAAATGACTGACTCTTGATTTCTGCTCATGTCATGATCTCAGGGTCATGAGATCAAGCTGCCTCGGGCTCCGTGCTGGGCGTGAAGCCTGCTTAGGATTCTCTCCGTCCCTCTCTCTTCGCCCCTTCCCCCTCTCACGCACTCACACATACCCACGCACTCACTCACTCTCTCTAAAAAAAACAAAAAACCAGTAACACATTTGGTAATAGGAAACCATCTCTCCATTCCTGAGATAAATCTTACATGGACATGATAACTTTTTAAATATATTATTGATTTGGTTTGTTGCTATTTATTTTAGTATTTCAAATATATGTCCATAAGTGAAATCAGGCTACTACTCTTCAGTATCATACAATCCTTATAAAATGAGTTAAAGACAATTTCACTTTTTTCGGTTCTTTGAAACAATTTATATACGGAAGAGATTATCTGTTCCATATAATTATGGAAGAATTTACCTATCACAGTCCTAGGCTTGATGGATATGAAGGTGTCTGTATGTCAAGACATTTAACTTTTAATTCAATATCTTTAATGGTTTTAAGTCTATTTAGGTTTTGTATACCTCCTTGAGCCAGTTGGTAATTTGTATTTTGTAGGAAATTGCTCGTTCTGTTTTCAAATTAACTGAATACATTAATATTATTATCTATTTGTTTAAAACATCTGTCCTCTCTATGACTATGCCTCCTTTTATTCCTAATATT